AGGCGTTTCGTAGTATATAAATTCATATTTAATTATTTTAAAGTCAATTTAAAGGGTATAAAGCTATATCTTATGAAATTTTTTTTATAAAATTTATCAACAGAAACAAATTATATTGGTTTCATTTTTATATGGTTGATTCGCGAAAAAAGTTGTAACATAGAATGTCTCTGTTATTTAACACACATGAATAATGTACATAAACAGAATAAAATATTCATGAACAAATATTATTTTGCTATTTCAAGTAGGGTTTTATGCGTTAGCAATGGTATTGTGCATGTGCCACTCGCTTTAAGGCAATTTATTACCATTTTTATTTCATATCAGCATTCTTTTTCTAAAATCCAAACAATAATTATATAGCTTTATACACATTAAAATAAGAAAAATAAAAGAAGTTCAAGTTGCTGATCGTTTCAGCTGATAAACCTGGTTATTGAACTCATTCCAAAAAAGCATACAAAAAACTTTTTTCTTTACAATAACTACATTATGATATTATAAATCTAAATCAATATCAATTATTGATGTCATGTTTGTTTAAAGTTTTGATATATTGACTGTTCTCTAAACATGAGGCCCACAAGTGCACATTTCCTTTCCTTGTGAATAAATTTGACATACAAGATTTGTGTTTAAGTTTGACACAAAATCTTTAAATCTTTACGCGTCATATCACCAATGGATTGAATTTAGTGTATATGATGAAAGGATAAAACGTGTTTTAAATTTTGTCAACTTTGCAATAAACGAGTTATTTGCGACATTTAAATGAAATTTAATCAGGCATCAAACTATAAAACATGAAGTTGATTCATCTGAATAAGATGGTACTGTGTCACATTCTATTCTTTTTTACCATGGCAACGATTACTATGTTTCTTGTTTCAATTGTTACTTACTTCTTAACTTATGTGTCTGCGTTCTAAGTTTAATAAGGGTCCATTTGCCCTTTCAGGCACTAAGAGTACTGACCCCGGACATGACACCAATCATGTCCTTAAATAGTATTAAGTTGTCAAATGGTGACCTATTAATTTTGAGCAGTAATACACTGAATGTTAAATATATGCTTTTTTTCTTTAACTTATTTGAAGGTAACAGTTTATCAAATAGGTGTGGTGCTGCTAAATTCCATACACCATACACCATTCTTTCTTCTACTTAACACTCTCGTTTCTGGAAGCGTGTGGATGTTGAAAAAATCACTTCAGATAACATATCTAGTTGGGATCGTATATTTCACCGGCCATATACACTTTAATTCGGGTGCCTGTATGTTCGCTCTCAAACATATCCAGTAAAAAATAGTTTTTTTAGTAATTTTTACACCGTTTCTGTACAGTTTTTATCAGGATTTTCACCTCATAATTATATGCGTTACTGTAGTTTAGTTAAATAAACGGAATAATAACGTAAATAATTTTTACTTACCCATCCCCTACAACGACACATTTTATATTAGCGCTCATTTTGTGTGTGTCACTTATCGCACATATTAATAATAACTACGATAGATACAAGTCTTATTTCGAATCATATTATAAATAAATGTGTGCTCATATTCTAATTAACGTCACTGTCTGAAACTGAATAACTATATTAATAGTTGTTTGTTTACTTAGACACAGCTGTAATTAAACATTTATTTATTACTTGTAAAACAATAAGCACTTAAACAACTGTGAATTAGTTTCCTGTTAAAACAAAAGGAAAGAAGAATTATCATATTTATATCCAAACACAATTTTGATAATCACTACAAAATAAAAGCACACTTCCTATTTGTAGATGTGATTTTCTTAAGTCTATTCCTAAAATTAAATCCTTAAAACATAAGATTTAATTGTACACTTTGCTCCGTCGCTAACCCTCCCTCTACTACAATGATAATTTTCTTCAAGCATTTTCACTTCCTGTTACATTCATTGAAATATTTGTCACATATTTTTCATGTATTTTCTGTACTTTTGTTCGCTATTAAAGCAAGCGTGTAATAGTCGAATAAATGGGTACGTCAACTTCCTCACCGTGTATGAATCATTGTACATGTTGTAAACCAGTCATTTAAACGTCGCGTTAAATTTATATATATGAAGATGTTGAAAGGATATGCATGGGGGTATTGAATACGTATAATGTATAAAATAGAAAAAGGAATTAAATTTTTAAAAAAAACCTATAAATCTCATCAATTCGCTTGAGGATTATTTTTTTTTAATTTCAATTTAAATCTTTAGTTTAATATAACACCCCTGAATATTTAGGGAGAAAAAATAAAATACGACAGTAAATTTCCGTGGTAACGTCTGCGTGGCTGTCACTTTTTAATAATTTTGTAACACAGATGTGTGAAGTTAATTAGGTTTATATCATTGTGGATTTACGTTATAGCATGTGCTACTACGTATTGTGCAATCGGTATTGACAAATTGTATTGTTGAGAATAATCATAATTATTGTATGTTTTCAAAATGTTAATTAATGTGAGACGTAAATATTCAGTAAAACACACGAAAAAACTGTTCAAGATAAAAAACTATATACAAAATACCAAAATATAGAATTTTTAGTAATAAACAGATGCATTTCTTATGTCTAGAATTTAAATTATTTCATAACGAAACTATATGAAGAATACTTAACTGAATAAGTTTGGATATTAACCAGAACCTATTTTAAAATATTATTAAAGCATATTATTTAAAAAAATGCCCATGAGAAAGTAAAGTTTATTTCCTCTTGTAAACCCATGTAGAAATAATATTAAACATGAGGGTCACGATGACCCTAATATCGCTCACCTGATTATGACAAGAAACAGGTAATAATTTAAACTATAAATGAAAAGCAGATATAAAATCTAAATCTGAACTGTGATTACAAAGTTTATATTTGTAGCTAACATAGTGTGCGTGTCAACATTACTGGTTGCTATTGCTGAGGAAAAACAATTGTTACTAAAGAAGTCACTGGTAGCTATACAAAATCAATGGTTTTCTTAGATGTCAGTGGCTGCAATGAAATTCAATGGTAGATTCACTCGTTGCTATGGAAAGTTGATGTTTGCTATTAAAGTCACTGGTTGCTATGTAAAAAGTCAATGTTTGCTATGGAAGTCACTAGTTGCTACGGAAATTTACAGTTTGCTTTGGAAAGTCACTCGTTACTATGGGAAGTCCATGTTGCAATAAAGGTCACTGGTTGCTAGCTATGAATAGTCAATGGTTGCTATGGAAATCACTGGTTGCAACGGAAAGTCACTGGTTCCTATGAAAAGTCACTGCATGCTATGTAGTTTCATTGGTTGCTAAAGAGGTCTATGGTTGCTATGTAAATTAATTGACTGCTATACCAGTCACTGGTAGCTATGGGAAGTCACTGGTTGCTAGTGAAGTCAATGGTTGTTATGGAAAGTGACTGGTTGCTATGGAGTCAATGGTTGCTATGGAAATTTATCTTTGTTATAAAAAGTCAAAGGTTGCTATGGAAGTCAATTGCTACTATGGTAAGTCACTGGTTGCTATAAAGACAATGATTGCTATGGATAGTCATTGGTTGCTATGCGACTGGTTGTTATGGAATCAATAGTTACCATGGAAAGTCACTGGTTGCTATGAGAAGTCATTGGTTGGAAGAGGTCTACTAGATTTTTCACGGATAAAAACATCGGCTTTAGCCTTCATGGTTTTAGAGAAGAAACATTTTTAAAGGTTTCACTACTTACATAATTATAGGGAAAATCCATGTTCCCCCGGGGCGGGGCCACTTTTGACCCAAAGGCTAAACTTTGAACAATTTTTATTGAGGTCCACCAAATAATGTTTCATGCTAAATATCTAAGATATAGACCTTGCAGTTTTGAAGATTTTTAAAAGTATTTACTACATTATTGAAAGATCATGACACCCTAGGCGGGGCAAATTTTGAACCCTGGGCTATAACTTGAACACGTGTTGTAGAGTTTTATCAGTTGATGCTACACACAAAATAGCTAAGCTCAAGGCCTTGCACTTTCAGAGAAGAAAATATTTAAAGGTTCTATTTTTAAAATCTATTTTAGCCCTTCTGACCCATATGTTCAATGGAGCAGAACCGTTTTAACAATTTTAGTAAAGCTTTATGCTAGGAGCATTTCATCAACTTTGACCAAGTGATTTCTGAGGAGAAGTCGTTTAAAAAATTTTGACGACGGACACACGGACGCACTGACGGCCGATGGACGCCGGACAAATTGTGATCACAAAAGCTCACCTTGAGCATTTTGTGCTCAGGTAAGCTAAAAAAACAACAATTCGTCAAGAGTATGAATCATGTTTTAAACCGTGTTCAAGACAGTTTAATACTGTTTCATTGGCCATTCAAATCAAATCTTTTTCGTTATCAAGCGGTATTTCAAGTTACACAGGAAAAGAAAAAAAAGAAAAGAAATCAACCTATATTTGCAAACAAAGCACTTTATCAGATAAGCTTTTATTATCAATAACTGCTCAAGAGAACGTTAAAGGCATATTATGTCTCAGAAATTGAATTCAGAAAATTTTACTTCTCTTTTGAAGGTAAAGATTAGTTTTATCATGTTTAAATCAGTTTTAAAGCTTTTTAGATGATAATCACCTGAAGAAATTATCTGTGAAGTTATTTTTGTATAAAAGGATCAAAATGTAAACAAAGTAGTATTTTGACTTGCATGTAAAAATACTTTATCACTATTACTGTACCAATTGCCAAAAAGCAACAGAGGCAAAAGATGGTTTAGTTATATGGCCAATAAGAACATTACTAAAAACTATAACAGAACACACAAAATAAAAAAGCGAGAAATTTTAGCTTTAGAGAAATATAAACTAAAACATTTCTAACGCATGATGGGCCTTTAATATAACCGAGAATGTTGATCAGATACTGTATTCATGTAGATTTACACCCGTCAGGGTTTTACGGAGAGGAGCGACGTATGAGATAGACTAAGGGGAATGCAATTGCATAGACAATTTGGAGATATCATTATTATTGTAAAATAAGCTATAAAAACGCTATGAAATTAGTGTTTTGATTTCACGGAAATATAAGGAAATTAAAAAAGATTAAAATAATACATGTTTTTTTAATTATTAATTCTTTTGTTAATAACCCTTTTCTATAGTAGGGTAAAATAAAACAGCCTAACTAATACGGAAATCGGCAGTGGAAAAAATCTCCGCTTGAAAAATTATGCAAGTGATCTCCCTTATTTTTTCTTTTTTGATACGAAAACACCCCACTTGCTTAAAAATGCAATAGATATGAATGTACTTATTCTTCTAAACAGGTTTTTACAATTGACAAAATTAACCGAGTGGTTAAGATCGTTGACTTGAAACCACTTGCCCCTCACAGTTTGTGGTTCTAATCAGGTGCCCGTTCGTGCCAGAAATTATGCACGGAGGGGCGCCTGAGATCTTCCTACACTACACTTCACTACACTACACTACACTACACTACACTACACTACACTACACTACATTGCACTGCACTTCACTCCACCCCACTACACTACACCACACTACTACAATACAATACAAATATGTATTGTTTGTTTTATTTGTTTTCCTATTAATGCCTAACACCATGTATGGGACCTACTGTAGACATTTATGCATGCGCTATAAGACACGCAATTGTCTTCTTCCAGGGTGTCAAGGTATATTTTATAGAAGCCGAAATAGAAAAAAATCATGCCACCACCAGTAGAATTCAAACCCATGACCTCCGTATTAGAAGTCTTGACCAAACTTGTCCACTTTCACAACAAAAACAACAACAACAACAAATATGTTTAAATATCATTTTCTCACAATTCATTATTTTTTCATGATCCACTTATTGCAACCAAAAGACGTTGTTTATATTACCACTTTCTGAAGAAAACGACACTGATTTAATGATATTTTCATTATTAATTCATAAGCACTATTTACAAAAAAGAATTTAATGTAAATGAAGGCAATGTTGTGCTTCGAATAAGAAAATGCAAGAATACCTACATGTGTCATTATAGTAATGAAAAAAAATATCGTGATTAGCAATATTTAGTTTGAAGCATTATACTTGTTTTAAGATTCTTCTACATAACATTTTTCCAGAACATCTGGAATGTTTTCCGACTCTGTGTCCATGAACATCGTCACAGAACGCATGAAGTACATCTTCTGTATTATCTACGTCGCCATCACATTCCACCCATCCAATATCGTCGTCATTCTGCCTTAACAAACCTTGCAGCTGACACGAGAGTTGTCTCTCTAGTTCTTTATTACTGACAACTGTAATGTTTTCTATTTCCAGCCATTTGAGAGATCGTTTTCGGTCGGTTAAGTGATGAATATGCTCAAATCCAATGACCAGTTTATGTCCAGATGCTTTTACGAATTCCTGTAGTACTCTGGCACAGTCGTGGAAATCAATAGAACATGGAATATAAAACGAAAATAGCAGAATAACAGCATCGTTGATATTATTATAAATTTTCATGTAAGCATTTTCCATATTTTCTAACACCCCTAAACCGCCTTTGTCTAATGTGTGTATTCCTTTCCGTGTATAAGGTTCCTTCCGTTTATTTCTCTTCTTTTGTGATGTTTCTTCATCAATTATTTTGAAAAGAAACTTTCTGTACGGATCAAATACTCTACATTCCCCGTGTTCAAAAAAGTATTTCTCACCTGCATTCATTGCGAATGCGACACGTTCGTAATGTACAACCTTTGTAACTAAAGCCGAAGGGTCATGGAGTCCGTGTAAATAATCCGTAAATTTTTCTAGCACAGAAAAGTTTTCTTCAATCACTTCCTCTTTAGATACGATAGCAACTGTAATAAATTGACTTTTACGTTTTCTTGTTCTGTTTGGATCCAGTAATATATCATATATATGGAACTTGGTTTCCAAACCAACGTCACGTAGAGCAACTAGAAATTTAACTAACTTTTGTCGATAGCACACAGTTTCTTCCTCTGTCATTTCGTTTGTTTGAAAAATACAACTTCGTCTAACTAGGAAAGAAAATGTTACACCATTGAAACTTTTTACAAACGAGGTCTTCAGCTCCTTATATTATAAGATACCGAGTGATGAACAGGAATTTAAGGTATCATTTGTGTTAAGTGTGACATAAAACAACATTAATCAGCCGATTAATCCAGGTTAAATCATAACTTATTTAGATATAGCAAACGATACTTCTCATGTCAAAAGGAAATGCTTAACTTAAAGAAGTAATAAAACTGAAGAAAAGATCTTACTTGCAAATCTGCAGTCATCCGTTTCTAACTGCCGCCGATAGAAAAAAGTTACGCCTCTTTTCCTACTTTCGTTTTAATTGTTTGTTTGTGAAAAAATATATGCCCATTTAACATAACCACATCTAAAACACTGTGACATGAATGTATCGATTTGCAATACGTCCGATAAGGTACCCATGTTTGTATAGATAAAAAGCTATTTATTATAATTGTTATACACAAATTGGCAGAGGTATACAATGATAAATATAATCTGTTTACATACTTTGTGTTCTATATCTATTTAAACATTTAAGTACTACGTACATACTGGTCATATTTTTCACATTGGATAACACGTAAAAAATGGTACAATGATATTTGAAACAGTACATTACTCTAACTGTAACAAAAACCTAAAATTGAGGAGAAATTTCAAATCAGTTCTAATTATAAACAATCGTATCCTATATTACATTTTCTTTATATTTCTTATCATATCAACTATTTTAAAGAAATGAAATTGTTGTATCGTTTCATCATCTTTCTACAAAGTGCTTTCCCAAACTGCCTCATACGTGTACTCTTTCTAAAGTCCAAAACATCGTCAGCGAAATCTTCAAAATCATCATCAAAGTCATTATCATACTCGCCGTTAAGAAACTCATATTTAAATCGAAATGTATCTGTGTTAATTAAAGGCTTTATTTGGCTTCGAATTTCTGTCCATATTTCGTCACAGTCAACAACAACTACGTTTTCCATAGTTATCTGGCTTAAGGATAAACATTTGTCGGAAAACTTATAAATACTTTCGTAACAGATCGCCATGTTAAGACCAGAAACATTGACAAACTTGTGAATTAGTCTAGAGCAATTATAGAAATCAATAGAACATGGAATAAAATACGAGAACAGAAGTATGACAGAATCGTTTAACCCATGAAATAATTTAGTATATGATTTTTTCATATTTTTTAAAACACCCTTTCCACCCTTGTCAAAAGTTATTATCTTATTTGTGTTGTCCATTATATTTCCTGTTTTACTTTCAATCTCTTCATCAATGATTTCAAATAGAAGTTTCCTACTAGGATCCAACAGACGACATTCTCCATGTTCGTAAAAGTTCTTAGCACCAGCATTTAAAGCTACAGCAATACGTTCATGATATACCACTCTCGACTGCAGCGTTCTTTTGTCAGATAGTGCATGCAAATATCGTGTAAAGTCCTTGAAAATGGAAAAGTTTTCATTTAAAATTTCGTCCTTTGAGACAAGAGCAATACCAACAAATTGTTTTTGCGTTCCCATTCATGCGAAGGATCTAATGCATCACAGATGTGGTACCTAGCTTCCTTTTCCAACATCTCTTAAGGCAATAAAGAATTGTATAAGTTTTCTTCTAGAATTTTCTTTGTCAAATGCCATTAAAGAGAGCATAGACGGTACTAGTTGACACTACGAAGAGAGCCTTATAAGGTACCTGAAGTAAAAGGAAAATGCCAATAGAATAAAAAAATACATTGGTGTTTGAATGTAAACTTTTCATTTATGTTTGAATCGCCTAATATTTGTTTTAAACTTTTATGATGTTCATATTATCCAGCCATTCCTTACAACTGCAACACTAAATCTAATAGAGTTAAACCCAAGACACGAAATTTAAGACATTTGTTAAAAATGAAACAGATATTATTTTACCTTTCCGTTCTTTCTGATCTACCTTTCGTATATGTTAAGTCAATCTAAATTATTGCTCGATAAATTATGTCAACATATCTTATTTTGACTATTTTAGGTGAGATACAAAACTAAATAAATGAGAAATAAGTTTAAAACTGAGTGAACTGTAAATCTTTTTCGATAGTATATTGTACAATGTATAATCATCTTCATTGCGCTACTGAAACGTAACCCAAGAAATTCTTGAAAATATTTATGTTAAATCTCAATACTTACTGAGATAAAATCTATATTCTCCAAAAAACCAGTAATTATCCTCTATTTATTATTATTAACGATACTTAACAAAGGAAAAAAAACCTAAACTTGTTTATACTTCCTTTGTATCTTTAACCAAACAGCTGTTTTCAATAAACGTAATTGCTGTTGAACTATAATATAATTATACCTTAATATTTAACACAGTAACAGCATTTCAGATATTGATAATTGAAAATTTTATTTTATCAGTTATTTAAATTTAAACTTGATTAGCATGAGATAAATCAAAATATATGAGCTATACAATATACAATGTACATGCACATGTAGATATCAGATTTTCACGTGATTAGGAATCTGAAGTTTTTCTAATTCGATAAATTTATTATGCGCTGTTAATATTTAACAACTTCAACCACGCGCATAATTATTCAGGTGAATTATTACCCGTCAGCCAATAATTATCGACTATTGTACAGTGGAATCATGTACCATAAATAGATTAGTATTTTTTTTAAAGATATTTTGCACAGTAATAGCCAACTCTTATCATACGTTTATTACAATGTAATGTGCATATCATGAATGATTGTTTAAATATATACTATGCTCACATTTGGGTTAAATACTGTTATTGCAATTTTTTTTATTGAAATCAAGTAAATTCTTCCTGAATCTGTCTTGAAGGTTCCATGATAAGTCCTTGACAAAATGCTCAAATGGATACAGAGATAAATAAACTCTTCACTTGCTTGCCTTAGAGTCTTGAAACTATACAGGGACGAGTCTTCGCTTTACATAAAATGCTCAAATGGTTCCGGTCTGAACTAAAAATTGAAATAAAAAACACCTAAAACGTCACCTCCTTAACCACCTCCATAAATTCTTACTGAATCTGTCTTGAAGGTTCCATGATAATCGCCGTATGAACACATCTATGGATGGCTGTAAATTCAAAATTTCACCATTTTCGTGTTTAAATGTTAAATTCTGCTTTAACCGGTGCTAGGGGCGTGAATTGTAACTTGAACTTTCCAGTACTGTCCATGAACATGCTTAATCAAACCGAACCTGCAACATTTTCAATTTTGTCGTGTTTGGGCTTTCTTTAGGGATTCTGTATTTCTCTATTTTATTTGAATAAGTAAATGCATAAACTATGTTTGGGAAGCTACATTCCCTATTACTTGTCAAATTAATTTGGTCTATTCTTATAAAAACTGCCTTTTTTTTTTCAATGACACTAGGACAGTCTTTTTTTGCTTCATTTCAGTTTATTGGTGAAGTTGTTCTCCGTGCACAACTTAAAACATGTGTGCGCTAGCGCGCGCGTGTGTGTGTTTGTGTGAGTGTGTGAGAGAGAGATAGAGTCTGGCGAGCGGGTTGGATGTGGGGCAAGGCCTTTACATGCTCATTTAATTGTGATGTTGATTAAAAATTCCGATAAATTTGTAAAACAATGTTGTTTTTTAAACCAGGTGGTTTCGCTGTAAGTCATATATTAGCAATATAACTTGTCCTGGATTGCAACAAGTGCGCTTTTATTGTTTTAGCATCGTCTGTAATGCATTTTAGAATAATAACTACTTCTCATCTTTGCATAGCTATACATTTTTCGAAACATTATTTCCTGAACTGTTGGTATATCCCCTAAACTGATGATATATGAAAATGTTTACTAAGAAAAATATTATTTCTTATAAAATTGATTCTCTAACCAATGCTCAAATGGACTTAACTCTTAAACCATATGACTGTTATCATTGCATAGTAATCTCCCTTTAATACATCTTAGCTCTCTAGTTGCATTTTTTATATAATTTTCAGTCCCATTTTAGCTCATAAGAGCACTAAGCGTTGTTATAAGGAGTTAGACTTGATGGCTGTCTGTTGTCCGTCTGTTCGAAGCCCACATGTTTTCTTGCACGATTGCGGTGCCTTTAAACAAAACATACACATGATTTTTATCACCGACATAGGACTATGTCTGTAACTAGTAATCCACTTTATTTTTATAATTTTTTTTCTTGGTAATAACAAGGGGTAGTTTATAGATATTTGGTGAGGCATCATAAAGGTCATAAAATAGCATTGATACAGACTTACTGGTTTTAAAACGACATTGGAACTTCATTTACAGTAAAAAAAAAACAACAATGTGCACTCGCTTTTGACGAAAATTGTTGAGTTAGATAAAAATATGTACCTTCTATTTACACAGTCATGTATTGTTCTCATTTTGATATCTTCCCTAAAATGAATATGGTTTTGCCAAGATTGAAAGATGGACAGGCCAATTTATGATATCCAGATAGGACAGGGTTAAAGTTGTTCTTAATTCGTAATTGTTTTCGATATTTCATTTTCTTTTATTTATTTACAACGATGACTCGTGAGGACTGGTACTCAAATGTGTGACTTTAAAGTGAGATTTTCATGCTGTACAACAGGGAAAACATGTAAAATATCTCAAGTCGATAAATGTCATAAATGGATAATGATTTGCCATCGAAATATTCTCCAGTTTCTCAGTGGAAGCTGGAAAACATAACATTTCTGTACTGCAAGGTTTGATGTCGATACTATGTCATTTCTGTTGATTGGCGGGTTTGCTGACAGGTGTATTTTACTTCAATTTATTTAGTGTTGCGTGCGGTAACTCATATCGTAACGCACACTGAAGAGTAAATTCTTATTTTCGGGGTGGAGCATAGTACAGTAGCTGCCATGTCCTATATGCAACCCTGGTTGACTGGAGAAGAATTATGGGTTTTTATTTGTTTGGGTCGTCAGACCCTGATGTTCTTATTTGCAAATGCCGAAAGTAATCCAAACACCTCGAAGCGGTTACTTCCCTTCATGTGTACATTAACGCCGAAAAATTAAGGGGAGATCACTGCGTAAAGATTGTCAAATGACAGGCGCATTAATTTTCGTAACGAAAAAATAGTTCCTGATTGGTCGAAGATTTCTAATATTGTGTTACATGTATTTTTATAGATATACATGCTTTAATTCAGCTCCATGATTATTTACTTCAGTGTTAAACAACAGGTTTACCGTGAACAAAATATATCGAAATTAATTAGGGTTACACACTCTAATTTAGAATAATATGGTATTCTTCAGACTGGTATTTTATAACTCCCCGTGGTCAAGGGGCTTACAGACTCCCTTTGGAAGCGAGAGGACTGGAGTTCAAACCCCAGTTCAAACCCCAGTTCAGGCACCTCGTTTTTTGTTGTTTTTTTTTTAATTTTATTTTATTATTATAATTATTTAAGCCAAATAAACATTGAATTGAATATCAGTGTTGCAATTAGTTTTACAACTTTGCCACATAAATTAATCAATGATAAACTAATTCCCCTAATTCAGAAAGCTTTTGCACGGGAAAAAGTTACCTTTCTAGCATGTAATTCTAACAAAGCTTTTTTTACTAACGTATTGTTAAACATTATACTATGTGGTCCTGTGACGAAGTTTGTAGAGCACTCTCTTTTCTTTTAGACAACATTTATGTCAGGTTTGGTAATACCCTATTTAAAACAGATCATAGGAATTCCTATGGGTACTAATTGTGCACACCTGGTCGCCGATTTGTTTTTGTACTGCTATGAAAGAGACTTTATGTTGAGTCTCTCTGAAGATAAACAACAAGATGTTATAGTCGCATTTAATAATACTTCCAGATACCTTGATGTTTCTAAATTCAAAATTTTACTATTTCATGTTTAAATGTTGAATTCTGCTTAAGCCGGTGCTAGGGGGCGTGGACGGTAACTTGCACTTTCCAGTACCGTCCATGAACAGGCTCAATCAAACCGAGCCTGCAACATTTTCAATTTTGCCGTGTTGGGCTTTCTTTAGGGATTCTGTATTTATCTATTATATTTGATGATATTTTGATCAAATGGTGTCTGACATTTATTCGCATGAACTACAACTTAATAAAACGAACTCTTGAAATTTTAGTATGCTTACAACCGTGTTGTTTGTGCCGTGTGGCGGCTGTAAAAAGTCTCCCCGTACATGCAATCAATGTTGTTATATTTTCATCCTCAAGGGATTGTTCGGCGTTCAGTGTCGGTGTCCCCCTCCATGTCCAGCCTTCATAGACTAATGGTTTATATTTATTTCCACTTTATTATATTTTTATACCCCAAATTTTCTTTAATCTTACCCTTTTGCAGGTTCTGTGTACACTGTGGCACTAATACTCTAGTCTCGTTACTTTAATATTGGTGCCCCACTGGACACGAAATCATTTTATTACTACATATAATTATGAATAACTTGAATAGAAACAATACACACTTTCTTTCACCTCTTTGGGTACATTCTACGTCTACTAATTCTTTACAGATTAGAAATCACAGTACACCTAGACGAACACCATCCGTCGTTCTGTCGCCTTTAAACTTTTCATCTGTTAATTCATTTTATATTCCACGATCCATTAACTCTAATATTTTCAATAATTCTTTACGCATTAGGCTTTCTCCTATAAAACATACCATTCTTAAGAAATATAATATCACACATACTAATTATCCTCATAGAGCGAGAGTGTATCCTTCTATTAATAAGTGTAATTCTTAGAGGTGCGGATGTTGTAACTTTTTATCGCACAGGTCTACAATAACCTCTAATGTAAATGGGAGAACTTTTAATATTATTTTAAATACAGATATTGACTGAAAGGCAACTCATTTTGTTTATGTTTTAACTTGAAACACCCCTGAGTGTGGCATACAGTATGTTGGTCAGACAGGACGTTCTCTTAAAATTCGATTCCGAGAACATTTATATAAAATGAGAAATCGCACAAAATTTACAACTTTTCTATATCAACATTTTCGTAAAAATGATCATTCATTTAAAATGTTTCAATTCAACCAGTGGAACAAATAATTTATGATTCTGATGCTTCTGCTAGTTTTAAAGTTAAAGTTAGACACTTAGCAGAATTAAAATGGATCAAGAACTTACAAACGCCTTTCCCACTTGGCCTAAATGACAATATTTTTCAACAAGGGAACATCTCTAAAGATCCAAACATTGATATATTTTCTATTCTGAATATTCGTAAACGTAAATCCCGATCTCACGGAGTACGTAGAAATGGCAACATCAAACGTAAACCTAAAATTACCCTGTCTGTCACCGACTTAAATATTATCTTAAAAAAACTCTGGTAAACATGCGATGTTATCACGTCTTACTTCCCTTTCATTATCATCTCTGAAAATCTTAGACGCGGAGGCAGATAATATAGTTATTCAAACAGATCCTTTATATACAGCAGCTTATCTTATTCAAAGTTATACTCAGCACGTCTTAAGACCTCATATCGACAACACTTCTGACCACAACAGGCTTTTCCTAAAAGTAACCTTTCTCTTAATAAAGTATCGATTTCATCGATTTACCAAGTATTTTTCGTGATAAACGTGTCACTAATTCAGTTCCTTTAACTTCAAAAACTCCGAGATACCAATTATTTGCTATAAATATAAGAAACCTGTTAGAAATATCATATTTAATTACAACAAAGTGGTTTCTGTCTTAGATATTCAGTCTAATACTCCAACAACTTGAGACTGCAATACTTCTAAATTCTGTAATTCAGATTTTGGCCATATAATCACTGGTAATTTTGATATAATTGCAGACAAAAGAATTCGTAACTTACGTAGAGCAACTAGAAATTTAACTAACTTTTGTCGATAGCACACAGTTTCTTCCTCTGTCATTTCGTTTGTTTGAAAAATACAACTTCGTCTGACCTAATGAGGAAAGAAAGTGTTACACCATTGAAACTTTTTACAAACGAGGTCTTCAGCTCCTTATATTATAAGATACCGAGTGATGAACAGGAATTTAAGGTATCATTTGTGTTAAGTGTGACATAAAACAACACAAATCAGCCGATTAATCCAGGTTAAATCATAACTTATTTAGATATAGCAAACGATACTTCTCATGTCAAAAGGAAATGCTTAACTTAAAGAAGTAACAAAACTGAAGAAAAGATCTTACTTGCAAATCTGCAGTCATCCGTTTCTAACTGCCGCCGATAGAAAAAAGTTACGCCTCTTTTCCTACTTTCGTTTTAATTGTTTGTTTGTGAAAAAATATATGCCCATTTAACATAACCACATCTAAAACACTGTGACATGAATGTATCGATTTGCAATACGTCCGATAAGGTACCCATGTTTGTATAGATAAAAAGCTATTTATTATAATTGTTATACACAAATTGGCAGAGGTATACAATGATAAATATAATCTGTTTACATACTTTGTGTTCTATATCTATTTAAACATTTAAGTACTACGTACATACTGGTCATATTTTTCACATTGGATAACACGTAAAAAATGGTACAATGATATTTTGAAACAGTACATTACTCTAACTGTAACAAAAACCTAAAATTGAGGAGAAATTTCAAATCAGTTCTAATTATAAACAATCGTATCCTATATTACATTTTCTTTATATTTCTTATCATATCAACTATTTTAAAGAAATGAAATTTGTTGTATCGTTTCATCATCTTTCTACAAAGTGCTTTCCCAAACTGCCTCATACGTGTACTCTTTCTAAAGTCCAAAACATCGTCAGCGAAATCTTCAAAATCATCATCAAAGTCATTATCATACTCGCCGTTAAGAAACTCATATTTAAATCGAAATGTATCTGTGTTAATTAAAGGCTTTATTTGGCTTCGAATTTCTGTCCATATTTCGTCACAGTCAACAACAACTACGTTTTCCATAGTTATCTGGCTTAAGGATAAACATTTGTCGGAAAACTTATAAATACTTTCGTAACAGATCGCCATGTTAAGACCAGAAACATTGACAAACTTGTGAATTAGTCTAGAGCAATTATAGAAATCAATAGAACATGGAATAAAATACGAGAACAGAAGTATGACAGAATCGTTTAACCCATGAAATAATTTAGTATATGATTTTTTCATATTTTTTAAAACACCCTTTCCACCCTTGTCAAAAGTTATTATCTTATTTGTGTTGTCCATTATATTTCCTGTTTTACTTTCAATCTCTTCATCAATGATTTCAAATAGAAGTTTCCTACTAGGATCCAACAGACGACATTCTCCATGTTCGTAAAAGTTCTTAGCACCAGCATTTAAAGCTACAGCAATACGTTCATGATATACCACTCTCGACTGCAGCGTTCTTTTGTCAGATAGTGCATGCAAATATCGTGTAAAGTCCTTGAAAATGGAAAAGTTTTCATTTAAAATTTCGTCCTTTGAGACAAGAGCAATACCAACAAATTGTTTTTTGCGTTCCCATTCATGCGAAGGATCTAATGCATCACAGATGTGGTACCTAGCTTCCTTTCCAACATCTCTTAAGGCAATAAAGAATTGTATAAGTTTTCTTCTAGAATTTTCTTTGTCAAATGCCATTAAAGAGAGCATAGACGGTACTAGTTGACACTACGAAGAGAGCCTTATAAGGTACCTGAAGTAAAAGGAAAATGCCAATAGAATAAAAAAATACATTGGTGTTTGAATGTAAACTTTTCATTTATGTTTGAATCGCCTAATATTTGTTTTAAACTTTTATGATGTTCATATTATCCAGCCATTCCTTACAACTGCAACACTAAATCTAATAGAGTTAAACCCAAGACACGAAATTTAAGACATTTGTTAAAAATGAAACAGATATTATTTTACCTTTCCGTTCTTTCTGATCTACCTTTCGTATATGTTAAGTCAATCTAAATTATTGCTCGATAAATTATGTCAACATATCTTATTTTGACTATTTTAGGTGAGATACAAAACTAAATAAATGAGAAATAAGTTTAAAACTGAGTGAACTGTAAATCTTTTTCGATAGTATATTGTACAATGTATAATCATCTTCATTGCGCTACTGAAACGTAACCCAAGAAATTCTTGAAAATATTTATGTTAAATCTCAATACTTACTGAGATAAAATCTATATTCTCCAAAAAACCAGTAATTATCCTCTATTTATTATTATTAACGATACTTAACAAAGGAAAAAAAACCTAAACTTGTTTATACTTCCTTTGTATCTTTAACCAAACAGCTGTTTTCAATAAACGTAATTGCTGTTGAACTATAATATAATTATACCTTAATATTTAACACAGTAACAGCATTTCAGATATTGATAATTGAAAATTTTATTTTATCAGTTATTTAAATTTAAACTTGATTAGCATGAGATAAATCAAAATATATGAGCTATACAATATACAATGTACATGCACATGTAGATATCAGATTTTCACGCGATTAGGAATCTGAAGTTTTTCTAATTCGATAAATTTATTATGCGCTGTTAATATTTAACAACTTCAACCACGCGCATAATTATTCAGGTGAATTATTACCCGTCAGCCAATAATTATCGACTATTGTACAGTGGAATCATGTACCATAAATAGATTAGTAATTTTTTAAAGATATTTTGCACAGTAATAGCCAACTCTTATCATACGTTTATTACAATGTAATGTGCATATCATGAATGATTGTTTAAATATATACTATGCTCACATTTGGGTTAAATACTGTTATTGCAAATTTTTTTATTGAAATCAAGTAAATTCTTCCTGAATCTGTCTTGAAGGTTCCATGATAAGTCCTTGACAAAATGCTCAAATGGATACAGAGATAAATAAACTCTTCACTTGCTTGCCTTAGAGTCTTGAAACTATACAGGGACGAGTCTTCGCTTTACATAAAATGCTCAAATGGTTCCGGTCTGAACTAAAAATTGAAATAAAAACACCTAAAACGTCACCTCCTTAACCACCTCCATAAATTCTTACTGAATCTGTCTTGAAGGTTCCATGATAATCGCCGTATGAACACATCTGCGGATGTCTCTAAATTCAAAATTTCACCATGTTTCGTGTTTAAATGTTGAATTCTGCTTAAGCTGGTGCTAGGGGCGTTGACGGTAACTTGCACTTTCCAGTACCTTCCATTAACAGGCTCAATCAAACCGAACCTGCAACATTTTCAATCTTGTCGTGTTTGGGCTTTCTTTAGGGATTCTGTATTTCTCTATTTTATTTGAATAAGTAAATGCATAAACTATGTTTGGGAAGCTACATTCCCTATTACTTGTCAAATTAATTTGGTCTATTCTTATAAAAACTGCCTTTTTTTTTCAATGACACTAGGACAGTCTTTTTTTGCTTCATTTCAGTTTATTGGTGAAGTTGTTCTCCGTGCACAACTTAAAACATGTGTGCGCTAGCGCGCGCGTGTGTGTGTTTGTGTGAGTGTGTGAGAGAGAGATAGAGTCTGGCGAGCGGGTTGGATGTGGGGCAAGGCCTTTACATGCTCATTTAATTGTGATGTTGATTAAAAATTCCGATAAATTTGTAAAACAATGTTGTTTTTTAAACCAGGTGGTTTCGCTGTAAGTCATATATTAGCAATATAACTTGTCCTGGATTGCAACAAGTGCGCTTTTATTGTTTTAGCATCGTCTGTAATGCATTTTAGAATAATAACTACTTCTCATCTTTGCATAGCTATACATTTTTCGAAACATTATTTCCTGAACTGTTGGTATATCCCCTAAACTGATGATATATGAAAATGTTTACTAAGAAAAATATTATTTCTTATAAAATTGATTCTCTAACCAATGCTCAAATGGACTTAACTCTTAAACCATATGACTGTTATCATTGCATAGTAATCTCCCTTTAATACATCTTAGCTCTCTAGTTGCATTTTTATATAATTTTCAGTCCCATTTTAGCTCATAAGAGCACTAAGCGTTGTTATAAGGAGTTAGACTTGATGGCTGTCTGTTGTCCGTCTGTTCGAAGCCCACATGTTTTCTTGCACGATTGCGGTGCCTTTAAACAAAACATACACATGATTTTTATCACCGACATAGGACTATGTCTGTAACTAGTAATCCACTTTATTTTTATAATTTTTTTTCTTGGTAATAACAAGGGGTAGTTTATAGATATTTGGTGAGGCATCATAAAGGTCATAAAATAGCATTGATACAGACTTACTGGTTTTAAACGACATTGGAACTTCATTTACAGTAAAAAAAAACAACAATGTGCACTCGCTTTTGACGAAAATTGTTGAGTTAGATAAAAATATGTACCTTCTATTTACACAGTCATGTATTGTTCTCATTTTGATATCTTCCCTAAAATGAATATGGTTTTGCCAAGATTGAAAGATGGACAGGCCAATTTATGATAACCAGATAGGACAGGGTTAAAGTTGTTCTTAATTCGTAATTGTTTTCGATATTTCATTTTCTTTTATTTATTTACAACGATGACTCGTGAGGACTGGTACTCAAATGTGTGACTTTAAAGTGAGATTTTCATGCTGTACAACAGGGAAAACATGTAAAATATCTCAAGTCGATAAATGTCATAAATGGATAATGATTTGCCATCGAAATATTCTCCAGTTTCTCAGTGGAAGCTGGAATACATAACATTTCTGTACTGCAAGGTTTGATGTCGATACTATGTCATTTCTGTTGATTGGCGGGTTTGCTGACAGGTGTATTTGACTTCAATTTATTAAGTGTTGCGTGCGCAACGCACACTGAAGAGTTAGTTCTTATTTTCGGGGTGGAGCATAGTACAGTAGCTGCCATGTCCTATATGCAACCCTGGTTGACTGGAGAAGAATTATGGGTTTTTATTTGTTTGGGTCGTCAGACCCTGATGTTCTTATTTGCAAATGCCGAAAGTAATCCAAACACCTCGAAGCGGTTACTTCCCTTCATGTGTACATTAACGCCGAAAAATTAAGGGGAGATCACTGCGTAAAGATTGTCAAATGACAGGCGCATTAATTTTCGTAACGAAAAAATAGTTCCTGATTGGTCGAAGATTTCTAATATTGTGTTATTTTTATAGATATACATGCTTAAATTCAGCTCCATGATTATTTACTTCAGTGTTAAACAACAGGTTTACCGTGAACAAAATATATCGAAATTAATTAGGGTTACACACTCTAATTTAGAATAATATGGTATTCTTCAGACTGGTATTTTATAACTCCCCGTGGTCAAGGGGCTTACAGACTCCCTTTGGAAGCGAGAGGACTGGAGTTCAAACCCCAGTTCAAACCCCAGTTCAGGCACCTCGTTTTTTGTTGTTTTTTTTTTAATTTTATTTTATTATTATAATTATTTAAGCCAAATAAACATTGAATTGAATATCAGTGTTGCAATTAGTTTTACAACTTTGCCACATAAATTAATCAATGATAAACTAATTCCCCTAATTCAGAAAGCTTTTGCACGGGAAAAAGTTACCTTTCTAGCATGTAATTCTAACAAAGCTTTTTTTACTAACGGTATTGTTAAACATTATACTATGTGGTCCTGTGACGAAGTTTGTAGAGCACTCTCTTTTCTTTTAGACAACATTTATGTCAGGTTTGGTAATACCCTATTTAAAACAGATCATAGGAATTCCTATGGGTACTAATTGTGCACACCTGGTCGCCGATTTGTTTTTGTACTGCTATGAAAGAGACTTTATGTTGAGTCTCTCTGAAGATAAACAACAAGATGTTATAGTCGCATTTAATAATACTTCCAGATACCTTGATGTTTCTAAATTCAAAATTTTACTATTTCATGTTTAAATGTTGAATTCTGCTTAAGCCGGTGCTAGGGGGCGTGGACGGTAACTTGCACTTTCCAGTACCGTCCATGAACAGGCTCAATCAAACCGAGCCTGCAACATTTTCAATTTTGCCGTGTTGGGCTTTCTTTAGGGATTCTGTATTTATCTATTATATTTGATGATATTTTGATCAAATGGTGTCTGACATTTATCCGCACGAACTACAACTTAATAAAACGAACTCTTGAAATTTTAGTATGCTTACAACCGTGTTGTTTGTGCCGTGTGGCGGCTGTAAAAAGTCTCCCCGTACATGCAATCAATGTTGTTATATTTTCATCCTCAAGGGATTGTTCGGCGTTCAGTGTCGGTGTCCCCCTCCATGTCCAGCCTTCATAGACTAATGGTTTATATTTATTTCCACTTTATTATATTTTTATACCCCAAATTTTCTTTAATCTTACCCTTTTGCAGGTTCTGTGTACACTGTGGCACTAATACTCTAGTCTCGTTACTTTAATATTGGTGCCCCACTGGACACGAAATCATTTTATTACTACATATAATTATGAATAACTTGAATAGAAACAATACACACTTTCTTTCACCTCTTTGGGTACATTCTACGTCTACTAATTCTTTACAGATTAGAAATCACAGTACACCTAGACGAACACCATCCGTCGTTCTGTCGCCTTTAAACTTTTCATCTGTTAATTCATTTTATATTCCACGATCCATTAACTCTAATATTTTCAATAATTCTTTACGCATTAGGCTTTCTCCTATAAAACATACCATTCTTAAGAAATATAATATCACACATACTAATTATCCTCATAGAGCGAGAGTGTATCCTTCTATTAATAAGTGTAATTCTTAGAGGTGCGGATGTTGTAACTTTTTATCGCACAGGTCTACAATAACCTCTAATGTAAATGGGAGAACTTTTAATATTATTTTAAATACAGATATTGACTGAAAGGCAACTCATTTTGTTTATGTTTTAACTTGAAACACCCCTGAGTGTGGCATACAGTATGTTGGTCAGACAGGACGTTCTCTTAAAATTCGATTCCGAGAACATTTATATAAAATGAGAAATCGCACAAAATTTACAACTTTTCTATATCAACATTTTCGTAAAAATGATCATTCATTTAAAATGTTTCAATTCAACCAGTGGAACAAATAATTTATGATTCTGATGCTTCTGCTAGTTTTAAAGTTAAAGTTAGACACTTAGCAGAATTAAAATGGATCAAGAACTTACAAACGCCTTTCCCACTTGGCCTAAATGACAATATTTTTCAACAAGGGAACATCTCTAAAGATCCAAACATTGATATATTTTCTATTCTGAATATTCGTAAACGTAAATCCCGATCTCACGGAGTACGTAGAAATGGCAACATCAAACGTAAACCTAAAATTACCCTGTCTGTCACCGACTTAAATATTATCTTAAAAAAACTCTGGTAAACATGCGATGTTATCACGTCTTACTTCCCTTTCATTATCATCTCTGAAAATCTTAGACGCGGAGGCAGATAATATAGTTATTCAAACAGATCCTTTATATACAGCAGCTTATCTTATTCAAAGTTATACTCAGCACGTCTTAAGACCTCATATCGACAACACTTCTGACCACAACAGGCTTTTCCTAAAAGTAACCTTTCTCTTAATAAAGTATCGATTTCATCGATTTACCAAGTATTTTTCGTGATAAACGTGTCACTAATTCAGTTCCTTTAACTTCAAAAACTCCGAGATACCAATTATTTGCTATAAATATAAGAAACCTGTTAGAAATATCATATTTAATTACAACAAAGTGGTTTCTGTCTTAGATATTCAGTCTAATACTCCAACAACTTGAGACTGCAATACTTCTAAATTCTGTAATTCAGATTTTGGCCATATAATCACTGGTAATTTTGATATAATTGCAGACAAAAGAATTCGTAACTTATTCTTGAAAGGACCTAAATACAGAATACCTTCTGAGATTGATTTTAATGCTTGTCGTGGTCAGATTGCTGAATCTATAGAGGATTTTTCGGTCAAATGGTGTCGCCGTGAAAATGCGGATAGTAATGCTCTAGTTACATGGAAACATAACATCTTTAAAATTATTGATTCACGTATTAATTTTTATCGTGGAAATGAACATCTTTTGCCACCTAAACCAAGACTTACTTTAAGACATCTGAAAAAGGATATTCTAGCTTTTCATTCAAAATTTGTTTTGGTGCTAGCGGACAAGGCGGCTAATAATATTATAATTGTATGACGAATCCATTACATTAGCGTTTTGCATAAGGAACTAAATAGTACTAATGCGTATTCTAAAACCTCTGCCCCCGAAAAAGACATTGTAAACAATCATTTTACTAATATTTCCAATCTTAAAGTCCAAATTAATGAAAAAGAACTCAAACTTCCTATTATGTATTGGATTCCTAAATTACATAAAAAACCTTACAAAGCCAGATTCATTGCTAATTCTACATCTTGCACTACAAGTAAACTTCTATTTTATTGACGTCTTGTTTGACTACCATTAAAGCACATGTAATTAGATATTGTGATAAAGTATATGAAAACACAGGCAAACATCTCTTTTGGTCAATTAAAAATTCTGGTGAAATCTTGGATAAATTCAAAATTAAGAACTTTCAAGCTTCAACTGTCAGTACATACGATTTTTCTACACTTTATACAACTTTGCCAGATAAATTAATCGATGATAAACTAATTTCCCTAATTCAGAAAACTTTTGCACGAGAAAAAGTTACCTTTCTAGCATGTAATTCTAACAAAGCTTTTTTTACTAACGGTATTGTTAAACATTATACTATGTGGTCCTGTGACGAAGTTTGTAGAGCACTCTCTTTTCTTTTAGACAACATTTATGTCAGGTTTGGTAATACCCTATTTAAAACAGATCATAGGAATTCCTATGGGTACTAATTGTGCACACCTGGTCGCCGATTTGTTTTTGTACTGCTATGAAAGAGACTTTATGTTGAGTCTCTCTGAAGATAAACAACAAGATGTTACAGTCACATTTAATAATACTTCAAGATACCTTGATGATATTTTTAATTTAGATAATCCTTATTTTGATCAAATGGTGTCTGACATTTATCCGCATGAACTACAACTTAATATAAAACGAACTCTTGAAATTTTAGTACATCATTTATGGATCTTCGTGTTGCTATCAACAACAATTCTATTCACACGAAAATCTATGATAAAAGAGATGACTTTGACTTTTGTTTAGTTAATTATCCACATTTAGATGGAGACGTACCCCATGCAACATCTTACGGGGTTTATGTTTCTCAGTTAATTAGATTCGCTAGAGCTTGTAGCAACGTAAAGGATTTCAACGAGCGGAATATTTTTATAACCAGCAAGCTTCTAAAACAGGGCTACCGCTATCATAAATTACGGAAATATTTTACTAAATTTTACAATCGTAACTTTGATTTAATTTCTAAATTCAATAGTGATTTAAAAAATCTTCTGCGACAAGGGATTAGCCAGCCTGGTTTTTACGGCGATGTGATTTACAAACTTCGTAAGATTTTGGGTCATGGTAATTTTTCTGCTGTTTTTACTAAAATCATTAAACGTTTTATTAAAAGAGGTTATGACCCTACTATTTTAAGACATACTGCATGTTTAGTGTTCAACCCTTTTACAGTTGGACACTACGCTTTCCTCTTTTGATTGCATCTGACGGCCCAAGTGGGAGACTCTATGATGGATAGTTCGTAAAGCCCTTTGGGACTGAATTGTCTTAATGTTCGTCTTCTGCCTTGCTTCGTCGGGCCCTTGTAGGTGATTTTCTTGTTGCTCTGTCTTCCTTTAGGACATTGAGCACTTTTGTTATGGTCATTGGGTTTACTTTTATATGTTTCTACATGATCATTTTAGTGTTTTACTTATTTAACCTTTTGTAACCATAACAACTGTTAGAATTTCACTTGGCGGGGATTCATTTTATTTACACTGTCTCGTTTATAGGAACATGGTGGGGCTAAGAGCGAGGTTTGGTGCACCATTAACCGGTTTAAACTCCCCAGCAGTCATTATTATGCTGCTGACCGTTCCAAGGCGGCGCCCCACTGTGTTCCTCAAATGTATGTCTATGTTGTTTCATACTGTTTTGGTGACACTTTTGCTTGTGTCCCTTGTTGTTTTCTCGTCTACGGTAAGTATCTTCCCTATTGCCTCTAGTTTTTTTTATTTCTTTGATTAACCCCCCTTCCCCCGGTCTCCTGTCCCCTTCCCCTTTGTGGGCCTATTATTATTTTCTTTGAATTCCTAATCAGTTACAAATTATTTATCATTTAATGATTAACCTTTCCGCGCTCTGTCTTTGCCCTGTCCTGTTTTTGTTTGGGGTCCGCCTGGGCTCCTTGCCATTGGTTCTTGTTGCTGGGTCACATGGGGGTTGCGTTCATTGAACGCCGCCTTTCCTTGTTCATCTTGTTTATCATATTTTACAGCCAATTTACTATAGCTATAGCACTGGAAACAGCACTGGTGACAATTTACAAACAAATTGGTTTATAATATCACAACCTTCACCTTTCTGACATTCTGAGACCCAAACAAATTCAGCGCCTTCTGTGCTTTGATTAGTGTCTTGTCCAATAGACCATTAATATTATAAGTAACGAGTTTGCGGATCGAACCCTCAACACCTGGATTACTAGTCCAGTGCATTACCACAAGACAACAGATACGCTCCAGAGTGTCGTTCAAAGAGCTTTAAATCCCATTAAATATCCAAATAATTAAAATCAATAGAGAGTTAGGTATTGTTATAGAGACACGAATCTTGTCAAGATCTGTGCGATTTATCGCTCTTTATCATTAAGAAAAACATATAGGATACTTTAAACTTGAAACAGAATATTTACAAGGTGAGATTTTGAAAAGGAATGCAAACTATTTTTTTTGTGTCCAGGTGCGAAACAATTTCACGTAGCACATTTTGAAATTGATTGAGTATCTATAAATAATTTTGTCATAAGACGAATGGTAAACACCATGTAGGGGGCCTACTGTATATGCATACGCTTTAATTCAAGTAATTGTCTACTTCCATGGTGTCAAAGTGTGTTTTATAGAAGCCAAATGAGAAAAAAATCATGCTACCACCAGTAGGATACGAACCCATGACCTCCGTTTTAAGAGTCTTGACCAAACTTGTCCACTTTCACAATTAACTTTCGAAGTTAATGTATGACCAACCATTAAAATATATACATGTAATGAAAGAAAATGCATACATTTTTAAGAATGAAATAACTGCCACTTTTAACAACAACAAAACATGTGTTTAAAATATTATTTTTCACAATTCATTAACTTTTCATGAACCACCTATTGCAACAACAAGACGTTGTAATCGTATCATTTTGTAAAGAAAACGACCCTGGCTTAATGATATTTTCATTATAAATTCATAAACACTAGTTCCATAAAGAATTTCATGTAAAATCAGCGATAAAGGCATTTTTGTGTTCCGAATAAGAACATGCGATAATAACTACATGTATCATTAGTAATGAAAAAAATCGTGATTATCAAAATTTAATAGAAATCAGTACACGTTTATTTAAGATTCTTCTAAATAACATTTTCCAAAAAATCTGGAATGTTTTCCGACTCTGTGTTCATAAACATTGTCAAAGAACGCATGAAGTACATCTATGTCGCCAGCACTTCCCACCCATCCAATATCGGCGTCACTTTGCCTTAACAAACCTTGCAGCTGACACGAGATTTCTCTCTCTAGTTCTTTATTACTGACAACTGTAATGTTTCCCAGTTCCAGCCATTTGAGAGATCGTTTTCGGTCGGTTAAGTGATGAATATGCTCATATCCAATGACCAGTTTATGCCCAGATGCTTTTACGAATTCCTGTAGTACTCTGGCACAGTGACTGTCGTGGAAATCAAAAGAACATGGAATATAAAACGAAAAAAGCAAAATAACAGCATCGTTGATATTATTATAGATTTTCATGTAAGCATTCTCCATCTTTTTCTAACACGCCTAAACCGCCTTTGTCTAATGTTTGTATTCCTTTCCATGTATAAGGTTCCTTTCGTTTATTTCTCTCCTTTTGTGATAATGTTTCTTCATCAATTATTTTGAAAAAAAAACTTTCTGTATGGATCAAATGCTCTACATTCCCCGTGTTCAAAAAAGTATTTCTCACCTGCATTCATAGCAAATGCGATACGTTTGTAATGTACAACCTTTGTAACTAAAGCCGATGGGTCATGGAGTCCGTGTAAATAATCCGTAAATTTTTCTAGCACAGAAAAGATTTCTTCAACCACTTCCTCTTTAGATACGATAGCAACTGCAATAAATTGACTTTTACGTTTTCTTGTTCTGTTTGGATCCAGTAATATATCATATATATGGAACTTGGTCTCCATACCAACGTCACGTAGAGCAACTAGAAATTTAAGTAACTTTTGTCGATAGCACACAGTTTCTTCCTCTGTCATTTCGTTTGCTTGAAAAATCCAGCTTCGTCTGACCTAATGAGGAAAGAAAGTGTTACACCATTGAAACTTTTTACAAACGAGGTCTTCAGCTACTTATATTATAAAATACCGATTGATGAACAGGAATTAAGGTATCATTTGTGTTAGTACTGATTGTATAAGTGTGTGTCCTAAAACAACACAAATCAGCCGATTAATCCAGGTTAAGTTATACGTGATTTAGGTGTAGCAAAAGATACTTCTCATATCAAAAGGAATGCTTAACAAAACTGAAGAAAGATCTTACTTGCATATCTGCAGTCATCCGTTTCTAACTGCCGCCGAAAGAAAAATTTACACCTCTTCCCTACTTTCGTTTTAATTTTATTTTTGAGAATTTAAAATAACCACATCTAAAACACTGTGATATGAATTTATCGATTTACAGTACGTAAGGTACCCATGTTTGTATAGATAAAAAGCTATTTATTATAATTGTTATACACAGATTGGCAGAGGTACACAATGATAAATATAATCTGTTCACATACTTTGTGTTCTATATCTATTTAAACATTTACATGTAAGTACTTCGTACAGACTGGTGATATTTTTCACATTGGATAACACGTAAACAATGCTACAATGATATTTGAAACAGTGCATTACTCTAACTGTAACAAAAACCTAAAAGTGAGGAGAAATTTCAAATCATCAGTTCTTATAAACAATTGTATTCTATATTACATTTTCTTTATGTTAATCATCATATCAACTATTTTAAAGAAATAAAATTGTTGTATCGTTTCATCATCTTTCTGCAAAGTGCTTTCCCAAACTGCCTCATACGTGTACTCTTTCTAAAGTCCAAAACATCGTCAGCGAAATCTTCAAAATCATCATCAAAGTCATTATCATACTCGCCGTTAAGAAACTCATATTTAAATCGAAATGCATCTTTGTTAATTAAAGGCTTTATTTCGTTTCGAATTCTGTCCATATTTCGTCACAATCAACAACAACTAAGTTTTCCATAGTTATTTGGCTTAGAGATAAAGATTTGTCGGAAAGCTTATAATTACTTTCGTAACAGATCGCCATGTTAAGACCAGAAACATTGACAAACTTGTTAATTAGTCTGGAGCAATTATAGAAATCGATAGAACATGGGATAAAAGACGAGAACAGAAGTATGACAGAATCGTTTAACCCATGAAATAATTTAGTATATGATTTTTTCATATTTTCTAAAACACCCTTTCCACCATTGTCAAAAGTTATTATGGTATCTGTGCTGTCCTTTATTTTTGCTGTTTTAAATCTTTCAATCTCTTCATCAATGATTTCAAATAGAAGTTTCCTTTCATGATCTAGCAGACGACATTCTCCATGGTCGTAAAAGTTCTTAGCATTAGCATTCAAAGCTACTGCAATACGTTCATGATATACCACCATCGACTGTAGCGTTCTTTTATCAGATAGTGCATGCAAATATCTTGTAAAGTCTTTGAAAATGGAAAAGTTTTCATCTAAAATTTCATCATTAGAGACAAGAGCAATACCAACAAATTGTTTTTTGCGTTTCCTTTCATGCGAAGGATCTAATGCATCACAGATGTGGTACTTAGCTTCCTTTCCAACATCTCTTAAGGCAATAAAGAATTGTAGAAGTTTTCTTCTAGACTTGTCTTTTTTGTCAAATGCCATTAGAGAGAGCATAGACGGTACTATTTGACACTACGAAGAGAGCCTTATAAGGTACCTGAAGTAAAAAGGAAAATGTCAATAGAATAAAAACATTTCATTTATGTTAGAATCGCCTAATATTTGTTTTAAACTTTTATGATGTTCATATTATCCAGCCATTCCTTACAATTGCAACACTAAATCCAATAAAGTTAAACCAAAGACACGAAATTTAAGACATTTGTTAAAAATGAAACAGATATTTTTTACCTTTCCGTTCTTCCTGATATGTTAAGTCAATCTAAATTATTGCTCGATAAATTATGTCTATATATCTTATTTTGACTATTTTTAAGTGAGATACAAAACTAAATAAGTGAGGAATAAGTTTAAAACTGAGTGAACTGTAATTCTCGTTCGATAGTATATTGTAAAATTCATGACGTTAAATGATATGTCTACTATAGTTATACCAAACTATTATGGAATACAACGTAACATAAGATAGTCTTGAAAATATTTAAGTTTAATCTCACTACTTACTGAGATAAAATCTATATTCACCAAAAAAACAGCAATTTTCCTCTATTTATGATTATTAACGATACTTTACAAAGGAATAAAAAACTTAACTTGTTTATACTTCCTTTGTAACTTTAACCAAACCCTTTGTAACTTTAACCAAACAGCTGTTTTCAATAAACGTAATTGATGTTGAACTATAATATAAATTTACCTTAATATTTAACACAGTAACAGCATATTGATAATTGAAATTTTTATTTTATCAGTTATTTAAATTTAAACTTGATTAGCATGAGATAAAACAAAATATATAAGCTATACAGTATACATGTGATTAGGATTCTAACGTTTCTCTAATTTGATAACTTTATTATGTAATAATACCATGTAAGTATTTAACATTCCATTGAATTAACTCCAACCACGCTCATAATTAGTACCCGTCAGCCAATTATATCGACTATTGTACGATGGAATCATGTTCCATAAATAGATTAGTAATTCTTTAAAGCTGCGTACCTCCAGATAAGTATAAATATTTCAAGAAAGTCAAACTTGAAAAAACTGCTCTTAGATTAAAAATATGTAAGAAGATTCAAGATTCAAGTAAGTATTTACATGTTATTTGCAATTATTGAATGATTTTGCAGATTTATCTCCATATCTCTACTGCGTAAGTAACTTATAAACGCAATAAGGCCTTTTTTGCATCATAGTTTGGGGACCTTTCCGTTGAAAATGTGTATTAGAAAGAGCACCGAAACACGAGGCTATCTGATTTGTACGAGGGGGCGTAGCCCCCGAGTATTAATCAGATTGCCAAGTGTTTTGATGTTCTTTCTCTTTTGTATCATAGTCAAACATAAAAACACGTTCCCTGTTGTCATAATATGAAACCCCAGAAGAAGTAACCAATGAACGAGCATCTGAATGTGTTTTTTTATATCGCTTTCCATTTCTCTGCCGTCACAATAAGTAAAAAAATCTTGAAACTGATCCATCGGAAGCATGAATCACAAAAAATTTCAAGAGAATAACAGACTCGGTTTGATTGAGTCTGTACATGAGGGATAATGAATAAGTGCAACATCCCTCACGCCCCCTAGCACCGGCTTCAGTGGTACTCAATTCTCAACACTCAATAGTGCTGGCATCAATGATCCCGAAGGACCAGAAAAATATAACAACACTGAAGTGAAGTACAGGGCAACTTTTTACAGCTGCCCCCAGCAAAAACGAGCCAATCAATATGCATGCTCTGGAGTGCGGGTAACTAATACCTGCACTCCAGTTAACGCACAGTTCATGTATATGTATACGATTTAACTATGACACGTTTTCAACAGAAAGGTCCCCAAACTATGATACAAATTTCCCTTCCATCGAAGGGAACGTGTAACAGTATCGCGTTTTCCGGTTACAGTAAAAAAATTTCAAGATGGAGGATTATTTATTGGAAGAGAGGTAGGTGATTTTATTCAGGTCAATACTACAAGCAGTTTGGTTTCTCAAGTAGTTTAGTTTCTAAAAGATGTGTATGTGCTTTGCTTGTAAAGAACAGAATCCGGTATCTAGTCATATATTTCTTCAGACCCTGCACCGCAGATTTATCTCTATATTGTTTCATAAATGTGCAAATTTGATGGTTTGAAAATTTGAATCGAGGGACCAACGTATTTTTCTCCCATTCCGACATTATTTAAGTATGCCTAGAAAAAGTAAATCTACAGAACATTAGTCCTTTATGTTTACCTTTATGTGTACCTTTTCTATTTAATACATTCTTGAAAGGTTGTATTACTTTTTTCTCGTCAGTAGAAAGTTATAGTTTGCAATTTTCCTTACTTTAAGTTTCAGGCTGAGACTTTTTGCAAAATAAGTAATGTCCTAAGTAAGGACTGTTTTCACGACAACAACAACTTTTATCAAAATGTAAGGAGAGAAGAAAGATTTCATTATTTTTGATTCTTCGTTATCCATTATTTTTATGAAATAACTCATACCTTTTCTATTTAATACATTCTTGAAAGGTTGTATTACTTTTTTCTCGTCAGTAGAAAGTTATAGTTTGCAATTTTCCTTACTTTAAGTTTCAGGCTGAGACTTTTTGCAAAATAAGTAATGTCCTAAGTAAGGACTGTTTTCACGACAACAACAACTTTTATCAAAATGTAAGGAGAGAAGAAAGATTATTTCTTGATTCCATTACACATTAGATAATAGTTTCTATTAGTAACAAAATAGAGAAAAAACAGAATCCTTAACAGATATCCAACTCGGAAAACATGGAAATGTTGCAGGCTCAATTTGATTGAGCCTGTTCATGGACGGTGGTGGTAACTGCACGCTACCGTCCAGGCCTCCGAGCATCGGCTAAAGCAGAATTCACGTTAAACATGAACTAGTAAACGTTAGATTTTTTAAACATATGTGGATGTGTTCATATTGCGGTTTTTATGGAACCTTCAATGTGACACGTTCCGTGAAAAGCGGCATATTACCCCCAGGTTAAAAATTGCGTGTGCTCTAAACGAGAATACATTGAGTGAAACTAAATAAAATGAAATTTTGAGAGGGGATCGGAGGTTATGAAGCCTGCATACCACAGATAAGCTGTCACAATTAAAAAGCAGGCAATACCCAAAGGGTGATTAAACAGTATTTAAGTGAGAAATACTGCAACCTTAAAACGTATTTCAAGTTGGAATTTCCATCTACAATAATGTATTTTGTAATTTCCCTTTGTGAAACATTTCAGACACAAGCGGGCACCTGACTAGAACCACCGACCTTCCGTAAACTAGCTTGATAGATTCCTCACATACAAAAAATCCAAAATGATGGAATTTCAACCACAGCAGTAAAGGAAAGTTGATTTGAAGTCAGTGGCCTTATCCCGACCCTGCCATATTATGTACCTCCACCAGGCTCACTGGAGAAGATACTGTATTTGTCTGACCTTAATTTATACTCTATAACTTTCAATATTATTTTCTTTAACAGAAACATGGAAACTTCTATACAGGATGTCTGAAATAAAAAAAAACTACTTTAAATTTAATAATGACAAAACAATCTTAACTTCAACAAAGAAGCATTCGAAATGACGCCATGATCATGCTTTGCTTTGAATGCTTTTTGGATCGAGATGAGAAGGATCTTTAAACATTGCCTTTTTTAAAATCTATATTTTGGGTTTTCGTTTGCACCCGCAACCATTTAAGCAACTGGTAGAAAGTCATGTAAATTTCATAACATTTAGTCAAGTAGTTACTGAGCGGATGAGATTGCACACACATGTGTATGACAGACGGACGAATAGCCATGGGGTCAATAAGCTCACCATAAATAATGTCGGAATGGGAGAAAAATGCGTTGGTCTCTCGATTTAATATTTAAAACCGTCCAATCTGCATATTTATGAAGCAATATAGAGATAAATCTGCGGTGCAGGGTCTAAATAAATAAATGACTAGATACCGGATTCTGTTCCTTACAACCAAAGCACAAAAACATCTTTTAGAAACTAAAATACTTGAAAATTGGAGGGATAAAAATCACCTACCTTTCCTCCCCACAAATAATCCTACATCTTTAAAACTCTATACTGTAACCGGAAAACGCGATACTGTAGCACGTTCCCTACGGTTCTTTCACTTATCAAATTAATTTGGTCTATTCTTAGTCCATTTTTAATGACACCATGACAATTCTTTTATGCTTCATTTCAACCTATTGATGAAGTAGTTCTCCGTACGTGCTTGTGTGTGTGCGTGCGTGCGTGCGTACGTGTGTGTGTGTGTGTGAGAGAGAGAGTCTAGCGAGCGGGTTGGGTGTGGGGCTAGGCCTTAACATGCTCATTTAATTGTAATGTTGATTAAAAATTCCGATAAATTTGTAAAACAATGTTGTTTTTAAACCAGGATGTTACGCTGTAAGTCATATATTAGTAATACTGGATTACAACAAGCGCGCTTTTATTGCTTCAGCATCGTCTGTAATGAATTTTAAAATGATAACTACTTTAATCATATATATGGCATTGTTTTTTTCTTACACTGGCCGTCATAAATTAGTAATATACATTGTCCTGGATTGCAACAAGTGCGCTTTTATTGTTTCAGCATCTACTGTAACGAATTTTTACAGTGATAACTACTTCTCATTTTTGCATAGCTTTACATTTTTCGAAACATTATTTCCTGAACTGTTTGTATATTATCTCCTGAACTAATGATGTATCAAAATGTTTACTAAAATATTTATTATTTCTTATAAAATTGATTCTCAGCCAATGCTAAAATGGAGTTAACTCTTAAACCATTTAATAACTATCATTGTGTACTAATCTCCCTTTTTTTCCTCTGCATTTTTTTAAATATAATTTTCACTCCTATTTTAGCTCATAAGAGCACTAAGAGCTCTTATAAGGATTTAGAATTGATGACTGTCTGTTGTCCCTCTCTCCGAAGCCCACATTTTTTCATGCACGATTGCGGTGCCTTTAAACAAAATACACACATAATTTTTATCACCGACATATAAGGATG